ACCTAAGTTTGGAGGCCCAAGCAACAGCAAGCGGCAGCAAGCAGCAAGCAGCAGCTATGCCCACCCCAACTCTGCTGACTGGATAGGAAAGCATCCAGCCAAGCAGAGTGGACGCGCCGGCCCTAAGGGCAGCCGGCAAGCCAACTACTAGAAAGGAACCGCAAATAGAAAGAGGCCATAGTGACAAAGTTAGAGGCCTGCGCAATAGGTTAGAGGGCCCAAAGACACAAGACAGCGAAAAACACAAAACAAAACCGAAAAAACATCAAGATTTGTGCGTATCATTCCTTTCAACTACAACAACGTGGTACACTGCAAGATTTGTGCGTTTCATTCCTTTCAACTGCAACAACAAGGTTTGTGCGTTTCATTCCTTTCAACTGCAACAACATGGTACACTTCAAGATTAGTGCGTATCATTCCGTTCAACTGCAACAACATGGTACACTTCAAGATTTGTGAGTATCATCCAGCAAACTTCAAAAGAAGCCCTATGACTCCAAGGGTTACACACACTTCGAACTTGGAGTTTCAGTTAACGCAATTGTCTCAATGGGAAAAAGGCGATGGAACGGCAAGGTGGAAAGGTCCGGAAACTTGTAGGTGTTTCAAAAAAGTTGTTTCAGTCTGCAGAAAAAGAACGGCGCGCTGCGAGTCGGCTGCAAAGCTTAAGCTGCAAAAAACTCCGCGAGGTTTGGGGGGAGGAAACATGAAGGACCGTGGAAACAAACCGATCAAATTGGACAGCTTATTCAAAAGTTCATTTGGCAGGTACGTGACTCTGGCGTCCCAGAGTCATATCACATCCGATCAGCAGTGTCTTTGTTAGGCAGTGACTGCTGAAAGGACCACTGCCCCCCTGCCTGTGTGAAAGTGGTGGGGTGAGACCCTTTGTCCAGGGTGGGACACACACACACACACACACACGCGCGCGCATAGTAATTAGTACGTCGGCAACTAGATGCGACAAGCACGTCGTCGCCCTCCGACTCCTCTGACCAATCACCTGACCCCTCTGAACCCGGTCGACCCATCAACCTGGTGAGTCCGGCGTCCCCAACAAAAGCCCCGGCCTCATAGTGCTCGTCCAAGCGCCGCGCCTGCTCGCCCAGGCGGGAGAAGACGTGACCGTTGGATTTCATTCGGTCGGCTGGCTGCAATTCCCCGCTAATTAAGCGTAAACAAAAAGCATACAAATGAATGAACCTTAGCCTGAGTGCATGTAACCATGTAGCGCCCAACATGCGCAAAGACTCCATCAACGTCGTTGGGGAAAAAAAACATGGAAACGCTCAAAGACATGACTCCACAAGCTCACGATCGCAGCATGTGGACGTCGAGAGGTTGCACAACTGCACCAAATGTGAAACGAGGCATGTGTTTACTCCTACAAGTACTTCTGCAAACTCTGTGTTGAACACGATGTTTGCCATCTTGAACATGTGTAAAAGAAACTCTAGATCTGTATACATATCTGTGTCTGTGTGCTGCAATTTGTTGAAGTTTCTACGCCCCAAACCTGCTTTTTTTTCGAAGGATTCAGGACCAACAAAACCGACGAACCTGCTGGATTCATTCCATGTCCAATTTTATCATATTTGGACAAAGATTTCCATGGAGTTGTCCAAATATGATGAAAATGTCCCCAACAGGTTCAACACTCCATTTGTGTTGTGTCGTCCCCAACAGCACCAGATTTGGATCCAATGTCCTCAACAGCACCGGCCGAACGCTCCACCCGATCAACCGCACCGACCGATCGCAGACTCGGACCTTCGACCTTCGGCCGATTCCCCGAAGCTCAAAACGATCCCCGTTCGGCCGATCGACTTTCAAGCGGGTGACCAGTTTGCCTTGTTTTTTCTTCCAAGAGAATCCATGTCATATCCAAACGGGTCTTCCACCAGCCGAACAACCATCGGCCCTCCCCAAAAGCGCCGCCCGCTTGAGAAGGTCTGTTTGCAGCGTTGTTGTTCCTTGTGGCTTGGTCCAAATAATCAGATGCTCTCAAAACAGCAAGCCCCTTAACTCTCTCTGCAGCTGAGCCTTAGCGAAGTTCTGGTAGGCCAGCTTGAAGTCGTCCATCTGCAATGATGCCTCTGGCAGTTGTAACATGGCGTGGCAGAACTCGTCGGGCTCTTCCCTGTTTGAACTAGTCTAGAGTCTATCCCCTATCGTCTACCCGACCCCTGACATGTGGTCCCAAACTCGTAGGACAACGGCGAGAAATCTCACTGGACGACTTCCTTCCATACCCTGAAGTCGGCCAAGGAAAACTCTCCATCGCGCCGATGATGTGCTCTCGCTTGCGCATCCGCAGGCGCAAAGCGCATCCGGATGCGCTGTTCGCAAGCGAAGCGCTTCGACAGAGTCACTCGACGACCTCGTGGTGTCACTAGGAGATACCGTGGCCATCGACATCAAGTGAAGGTGACGTGGAAATGTCTTATATTTATTCGATGCTTTTCGTGTGAGGAATGGTTGAAACCAAGGATGAAAGACACATCTTCAAAGAAAGTGCAGTCTTGCTCCAAAGGTCCAAAAGCTGATGTGTTACACACGACATCAATAGCTATATACAGTTACAGTCTCCTCAAACACATATACTCTCTGACTCACTAACATGGAAGACCATTTATGTACCCCTACAAAGGAGGTGGTTTCCACTTCCATGATATAATGATACTGATACTATAATATCCCCAGTGAACTGGCACGCATGAACAACTGCACCAGCTCTCAGACTCCAACTACCGGTCCCTTCTTACGCTGTACCTTCTTGCCTTTCCTTTACCGGAAGCTACCAACCCCCCAGCCCCCCCCTTCCTTTATCGCCCAGTCCCCGCGGGTGGGTCCCAAAGGGTCCCAAAGGGTCCCGCGTCCCGCCTGTGCAGCTCGTACCAATGGTTTCGACCACAAAGGGTCCTTAGGAGCGACCCAACCGACCACCATCGGTCGCGGGACGGAGTCCCAACGTCGGCGGGGTCGGTGTGTTGGGGACTGGTTCGGGAGTTCGGGACGTGAAGGGCGTTGGTTTGGGCAGCAAATGTTCTGGGACTTTTTTGGGGGAGAATGTCTGGAAGTCTAGAGTTGTCCACTTTGTGACAGTGGAGAGTTCATCATGCTCAATTTTAGCCGGACCAATGAGGGAAGCTCCACGTTAGATTCTAATTCATTCCTTTTCTTCCTCATTCTAAGACAGGACATGACAGGACCACCATGGACCACCCAAATCAAAAACAACATCCCAAGATGAATGGCAATGTTCGTTCGGTCGGCTCCGTCACCGTTCGCTTGCACCTTCTCGGAGGCCGCCATGGCATCGGCAAAGGCCTCGCCGGTTGCCCGGCTGGGCGGCTCGGTGGTTTTCCGGTTTCCCCCCAGGTTCATTGAAGACCTGAACCCCCCCAAAAGTGAACATGGGAGCAATAAGAACAACAAAATAGGAGTCCAAGCACGAATGGATTCGAACATGGTGGAGGCCCAAAAATGGTTCAACGCGTTTTGCCCAGTATGGGCTCACCTTTTGAAGACCAATGAAAAGGATTGCTAAGATCCACCAATGTTTGTCCACCCTGAAAGAATTACGCATTCTATATGATTATACATTTTATACAGTATGTTATATCTTATAATACAATATATTAACAGAATATATACTTACTAGCAAAAGATGCTCACTGGAAGTCTCCTTCCAACGATCAAGTCAGACTAGATGGTCTAAGAAATTAAAACCAGCCAACCAACCAACCAATCAAACACCTGCCCACACCACACCATGCCTCTCTAGGGAGCTCCAGCTTCAGAAAGCAGGCAGAGCGGTTCGAGAGCACGACAGCCTGGCTGGTTGAAGGCCAGCGGCGTGTGAATTCTATAGAAATGGGGCATTTCATGCAAGTCAGGTTGCCGAAAACAATCAAATTCTCTCGAGTGGTGGAGCCCCTGCCAATGATTATCTTGAGAATGCCATCAACACAAGGAGGTCAGTGAGATTGTGACGATCAATGCTATATAATGCGATCAATGACCTCCTGGCCACTCGACACGCTTATCCAGAGACCGAAGCTAGAAAAGAACCTCACCCAAAGATTTGTCTCCCCTCTACCCTATGCTGGCGAAAGAAACAAGTAATAAATTGATTTGTGCAATGCCCCGAAAAAGTGTCTGCTTGTGAACAATGTAGGTGTTCGCTGAGCAAATCCACCAATGTACGGAGGAATCATCCAATGTAGAACACCTCTCCCACCTTCACAGTTTAGATATTTCCAGGTGACCGAAGCAATGAGAATGAGGAGGATTCGATCGCAAACAAATGTGGCAAAATCAAAATGCTTCAAAGGTTCCTCACCCTTGTTACTTGCGGGGAATACGATGAATGTGGTGGTTCCATCCCAACTGGCGTTAAGGTTCTCACATGCTTCACTATCCCTTGCAAGAATCAAAATCTCAAAGCTCTTTACTTCACGGATCTCTTCGATCAATGTTTCTGATCTCTTCCTGCCCTCTCTCTTTCTTCACGTTCGACACGTTGGCCCCTGCAATCTGCATCTCCACCGCCCAAACACAGCTCGTGGATGTTAGCAGCAAGGTGGTGTTGTTCGGACCACCAAAGCAAAGGTTTGCCGTGGTCTCCGGTGTACGGATCTTCGCCAGCAGGGTGCCCGTGGGCGTGTAGATGTGGACCTTTGGACAAGCAAGGTGCTTGCGGCTTCATGTTTTACATGGGTCAGCGTCCTGCTGTCCTGCTACATGTGTTGCTTCACCCACCTAATACAACAAAGAGTTTGTCCTTTTGTCCTTCCTTTATTTAATCCTTGGACAAAGGACTGCGCAAAGTATGACACATTTTGTGGATCAACACGAGGCTGTTGTTCCTTTCCGTCTTTCAAATGAACGTGGCCGCTAAATCTCTGGCTGTTCGAGGCTTATATACCTTGGGTCTATCCTATTACCAGGTTTCAGTGGATGATGATGGGGCCTGGTTGCAGGTCTTGTTCAGAAATAGTGATTTGCTTGTTTACTGACTGTTACAGGTAATAGGACAGACCCAATCAATACCAATGAAAAGTTCAGATGAAACTCCTAGTGTGTTACATGTTGAAGATGGCTGGGTAGATCTCTCTCTCACTAAGAAAGAATCCATTGCTCCCTCCAAATTGTCGGCCCATGGCTTGATTGTCAAAGTCAAAGTTTTCATTTAGGGTTGGTGGCCATTTCTTGAAAGGATAGTTCTGGCCAATGGATCCATTGTCTGTTTGTCTTAACACAAATGTTCCAATATATAAGGAGCCTGTTCACAAGGCAGTGACTGACAGCGAACTTCGACTTCACAAGCCCCTGAAAAGCATGTGTTCAGGTCGGACCTTCTCTAGCAAGTAGCAGATATCATCAATGAAGATAGGAGTGTTTCTCGAGAATTCAAGAGAAGGGGATCCCCGACCCTTGCTTTATCTCGCTCCAGCTGGGTGCCCAGTCGGGCACCGGCTGGGCATCCAGTCTTAGTCTTAGACCGACCCCAGTCGGCGTTCCGATTCACCCGGGGTAACTAATTAGCCTGGGCTACCATAGTCTACCCACCCTGGTCCCATGCCCGTCAGGTGAGAAACAAGTGTCTGATGTCTTCCTATGAAACTACCTGTTTAAGCTTTCGATGTCAAGGCACTCCCTCCAGTGTGGCCACATAGATGTGGCCCTCCGCGTCGCAGCGTAGTCCATCAGGAATTCCACCTGCGTCCTTGGACAGCTGGATGATCACCTGGTGAGGCCGTACGATCACGTGAACATCCCAAAAACCCTTGCCACGAATGGCCTCCAAAACTCCTATGAGTCACCCGACACGTGCAAGCACAGTCCGTCTCAACAAGCCTCCTCACTGGGCAATGCGTGGGAGCTGAACTTGGGAGCTCGTGGGCGCGAGATGCTTTGGATGTGATTTGCAGAACATGACGGGATGGGCCAATCCAACTAATCCATAATCCATTTATATACCTCCTTCCAGTGGATGATGAAGCTTCGCAGGACCCTGAACTCTACAAATGATAAGCTTTTGCGAACTCTTGCTTGGAATGACCTCGCCTCCAGAGGAACTCAACGACCCTTTGTGTTGAACAAGGACTTCCAGAAAAAAGTTCCTGGTCGGTGTCATGTAGGACTTGAGGCCTGACTCTTCCAGGTGGTATTCATTTAGAGGTAGGTTTACGGGGGGGATCAATCTATGGTGAACATGTTACATGCAAAACAAAGAACTTGCCAAGCAGAACTTGGTTTTGATTGCTATGATGGCCTTTTCACATAGATAGTAAGATAGTACTTCACATTAATCATCCTCAAGGTCCAACTACTAGGTCCACCGCTTCGAAGAGAATGTCTCATGTCCCACCTGACGATCCGATAGGCTTCCATCAGCCTCCACTCTATATCGGACGACTTCATGCGGGTTCTCTGGATGCCAAAGGCGTTGGAACCAGGCACCTGAGTCTGCCACATACCTTGGCTCTGGCTGCGAAAAAGACCTTCATGGATCTTCATGGCCAGCAAATACCATGCTGACAATGCTGAAATGAGTGCAAGCATGTGCAAGCTACAAATAGGTCTCGGAGGGATCAAAGCACAAACCGTTGGGCCGGCATTCGTTCTTGGAGACGCTCCTCAAGTGCTTGGTGGCAGGGTCGAAGCAAAAGACGTTGTTGTGAGGCCTGGGTCGTCCAAAGGGCGGTGCCAAGGTGCATACATGTCATTTATCAGAGGACTGCTAGATATATGCTTCATTAAACATGATTACAAAACGGGACACGAAAAGTTAACAACCATGCTATCACAACTGCGCAGCTGTTCGATAGCATTTCCATGACCCATCTTGGCCACGACGCCATAATCGGGGTCGGTGAACCAAATGGTCCCGTCACTTCGCACGGTCACGTCATTGGGAGAATTCCTGAAAGTTTGCTGTCCAGCAACCAGAAAAAAAAGTTTCAGAAGGGCATCGTTAAAGTTGTCCTCAGTTCGGGAAACATACACGTTATGTAAAAAATGGAAAAATATAAGAAAAACAATGACCTACACTTAAAACCAGGATTCAGCTTCTTCCCTTCAAACTGCCACACCACCGCTTCCGATCGGCCAACACGCTTCGGGGATGGGGAGCTTTCGTCCAAATCAGTGAGGGTCACACGCCTGGTCTCGTGCTCACAAGTCACCAGGTATCCATTGTAGAAGCAGTTTCCATTCGGTTTGGCAGCTGGGTCACGAAAGAGTTGCAGCCCATGCTCTTGGTGATAGCGCCAAAGGCGGCTTTCTGGGATGTCAGACCAGTACCTCACCTGACCAATTGCACTGAACATGTCACCGAATTTGCTTCCCCTCAGCCCGGGCAAGCTAGAAAAGGGTATAATGTGGAAAGCGGTCTAAAAATGTCTAATAGCTTAAAACGTCTTACGCATAACCCCCCAAAGCTTGGCCGAACAGCTACGAAATCGTGCAGCTCATGCAACCAGGAGACCACCAGCCGCTTTGAGTATCATAAGCAGGCCCTTCTGTGAAGCTGAAGCCCTCCGCGACCAAGCGGATGGCGCTTCCTTCGCTTCCGAAGAGGACCGCTCCGTCGCCTCCAAAGGCTTCCGTCAGCTCCACAAAGGGCACAGCGCCCATCGCATTGGCGCTCATGTTACTCATGTTTGGAAGATCAAGCTCCGATCCGCAAAAAAAGGGCCTCTCTGCAGGCCAGTACAAGGGTTCAAGTGAAGATAACAGCTATGCTATGACCTGTTGCATGGGCCGGGAAGGCAACCTATTTCGCAGTCTGACGTGACGTCGTGGTCGAATCCTTCATGTCTGTCAGACCTCTGCAGGCGCAGGACCGCAGGAGTGCGAGGTATCTTTTGTCAAATCATCATGACACTCTTCCATTTTGACAAAGATGTTGGAAGTTTGAGACTTTGAGGATTGTGTTTTTATTCAAGAATGGGTGGAGTTACCAAACATGTCGTGATCAGGAGTCTGAGCGGTTCATGATCAGGTCTTTTTGCGGCCACAGAGCGGGTGAGGACAACAATCTTCAAACTCTTAGCGCGAAACCTGTGAACATCTTTTGCCATGCCAACACGTTCGGCTTGGACTTGAAGGTATTTGGACCAGTCGAAGGTATACTGGAAGACCCAGCAATTCTTTGGATAAGAGACCCCCTCTGGTACGTAATTACACTGTTTGGGTGCAGTAAATGCATATATGCATGCATGGCTGTGGTTCTATTAGCATGGTAACTAATTGACAGTGTATTTGTTGTTAGCCACCTCTCAAGCTTGGCCCCCCCTTCTGGCAATGAAGCAAATGACGCGCCCTAAACGCAAAGCAATTAAGAAAACCATTGAGCAGAAAAAGGCAAAGCCGCAACAGAAACTATTGAAAGGTAGTATGGCGACTGACTGATGAAAGGCAGGTTAAAACATGAAGTTAACATGATGATGCAAACAGGGAAATAATATGGGGATATGTTTCACAATTGTAATATATGTGACCTTGTAAAAATTAAACCAAAATGATAAAATGTAAGTTTCTTTAAGGGTACGGTTTTGTTTGTGGAGTTTTTTGCATTGCGTTTGGGCATTGCGGAAGGCTAGCTGTTTGTAGAAGAAATGACCGTCCAGGAGGCAACTTTTCATGACCATGATTATTGCAGGGCGAACCAGTGTGCAATAAATGCCAACCAACTGGACCACAAGGCAAAAACAAAAAAACTCCGGCCGCAGGGCGAACAAACATGAGACAAATGTATGGAGTAATCGAGAAGGGAATAAAGAATCAAAGAGCTTGTTGTTCCTTAAGGTGAAGCAAAACAAACACAACAATGAACCAGTAGAGCAGAAAACAAACAACAAGAGTAAGAAATCAAGGCTTGAACAGCAATTAAACAACAAAAAGTGACGGCAGCAAAGGCCTTAGAAAGCAAACGCAATGAAAACAGAGAAACAATACACCACAAGAGGACAAGAAGCAGGAAAGTAAAGAAAGCCAGAAGAAAAGCCAGGAAGAGCAAGACAAGAGTTAAGTAAAAAAGCAGGAAAGCATGAGACATCACAGGGAAGCAATAAAAGCAAAGGAAAAGCAGGAAAAGCAACACAAGCACAAAAAGCAGGAAAAGTAAGAAAGGGAGGAGCAACCACAGAGAAGCACGGAAATCAAAACAATCACAAAAAACAACAAAAGCAGGAGAATCATAGAGAAGCAATGAAAAGCAAGAAAAGCAACAAAAAGCAGATCCAACAAAAAAATCCCTAAACACAACACAAAATGATCCCCGAAAAAATATTCATCCTTCCTTTAATGTTCCCAGGTACAAAATGGTACGCAGGTTTGGGTCTGCTAGCTTCTTGTACCAAAAGATGGAAGTCATACTTCACAAGCTGCCAAAGCAATTTAACATCAGACCGGCATCTATGTTTCTGGTACAGACCTGCCATAGGCAAAACATGATACTAATGAAAACTGAATGAGCCATCTTCCATCTTGGAGGCATTGTCCCTCCCGGCAACCTATTTTTTTCCAGGTTGAGAAACAGCCAGCCTGAAAACAACGCTTTCCTCAGCGGCTGGGTTTCTTGCCCTGAGAAACCTGAGTACTAAGCTTCCGACTCTCTAGATAACTATATCATATATATATATATACATATCTGCAGTTATCTGCATATATATTATGTATATAATCAAGTATATGCCTACGCAATATATATCCCACATATAATCAAGTATTCCTATACATACATATATATATATAACATAATCAATAATAATAAAAGTATTTGCCTATGGTCCTTGGGATTCACTCATCCGGCTCTCCCTGCACTCTATGCCGTGTTTTCCGACCCCCTTCATGCACCAGTAAACCAGAATTGTAATATCCTATCTGCATGTTTTTTCGTTCGGCTGGGTTCTGAGGGGCCTATCCCTGCGTGCGAAGGGCCTCAAAAACCCGCAGAATCCTCTCCCTCGCACCTCCTCCCGCGGCTCCATCATTGGCCGGTGGTAGAGGGCCCTGCCGTGCACGAAGCTCGTTCGTGCGGCGGTCGCTGCGAGCCGTGGCGGTCCATGGGGGCAGAAGTCTTTGGCCTAATGGCCATGGTGTGATACAGTGAACACACCGCATGGCCATGTTTGAAGGGTGTTTTTCCAGGGTTGAGATGACTTGAGATAAACCGTCTTTTTTGTTTCCTTACGGTACTGGCTGGGGTGTGTGTGTGTGTGTGTCCACCCCTGGGCAAAGGGTTTTCCACCACCACCTCTTTCACCAGTTTACCACAAACTTTCACTCGCAGGGGGACGGGACACCGCTGGCACTGCCCATCCAACGAAGAGGGTGCCAGTCGGTGCTGAAGCAGTGGAGGACGCTCCACTGTGTACCTGCCTGAAACACACTGACACCACTGGTCCGCCCTGCCGCTGTTCGTTGGTTCCATGGTCTTTCTTCACGATACCCTCCCACAAACAGGTTTTTCCACCGCATTTCTCAGCCGATCGCGAGTTGCAGCTTGAGCCGCTTCGTCACCGCAGTCAAGGGAAACAACCATTGTTCAAACACCTACAATTTGTCGGACTTTTCACCATGCTGTTCCACCGCCATCTTTCCCATCGTGGGAATCGAGATAACTTAATACAATTGTCGAAGTGTGTTTCGCTCAGCCGTCCCACTCGGGTGCTGAGTGTGATCCCCGTCATTGGGGCGCTGTCTCATCGTGCAAGCACTAACTGACCTCACCACTTTTCACAGGAACTCCACTGGAAGTCACCGACACAACCACTGAATTAACTGCCACAACGGCCGCCGGGCCTCATCACGGGAACTGACAGTTTTGCACTGAGATCTTTGACGGCTAAGTAATCACTTGTGCATGTGCTGCTAAGTATTCACAGGCCGGACAAATTAACTGTGCAATTTGTCCCCCTCCCTACCCCTGGGCCCTTTGCTACCCCACCCGCTACTCGGGAAACAGAAGGAAATCGCACTCAACACACTTGTGTGTTGGTGCCTTTCCTTCTGTTTCTCCTAGCCTATTGCTAGCTACCCGGGCGGTTCAAGACAAATGTCCCGCTCGCGCACTACTTTCATTTAACTAAGTGGGCCTCGTAACTACCCCTATCTCTCTTTCTTGCCCTCTTAGTCTGCTTTTGTTTTGTTTGCTCTGTCTGTCTTTCTAAGGCTTTTTAGGTGGCTATTAGTTTTTCGCAGCGCCAATATTGGCGCTTTCTGTACAAAGCTCCACCTTCAACGTTCCACACACTTGCGCCGGAATCGGCTGTTTGTGTGTGTGTGTCCACCCCTGGGCAAAGGGTTTTCCACCACCACCTCTTTCACCAGTTTACCACAAACTTTCACTCGCAGGGGGACGGGACACCGCTGGCACTGCCCGTCCAACGAAGAGGGTGCCAGTCGGTGCTGAAGCAGTGGAGGACGCTCCACTGTGTACCTGCCTGAAACACACTGACACCACTGGTCCACCCTGCCGCTGTTCGTTGGTTCCATGGTCTTTCTTCACGATACCCTCCCACAAACAGGTTTTTCCACCGCATTTCTCAGCCGATCGCGAGTTGCAGCTTGAGCCGCTTCGTCACCGCAGTCAAGGGAAACAACCAATGTTCAAACACCTACAATTTGTCGGACTTTTCACCATGCTGTTCCACCGCCATCTTTCCCATCGTGGGAATCGAGATAACTGAATACAATTGTCGAAGTGTGTGTGTTTTCTTTTTTCCCCAAGGTAACAATTCTCAGGTTGAGATGACTGGGACATCCTTTTGTGGTCGGGCCGGGAGGGACTGTCTGCTCCCAGCACGGTTTGGGGAGTCCGGTTCAACGCGGTTGGAAAACAAATGGAGCCTCCAGAAAGACGACGAGGGCCACTGAGACCTTTTTCTCTAGTTAACTCCTTTGGGGGGGGGGTGAAGGACTACTGCGAGGCGCCCCCTCCTCATGCCAGGTTCCTTTTCTTTGCCATTCAGGTGCTTCAATGAGTAGCGGCGACTAGCTCTGTTGGAAATCAAAGTCGAGGGCAGAGTTTCTTTGAAAGAGTCAGAGAAACAAGAAAGTGTGTGTTCAATTTCGTGTCTTAAGCTCATGTGTCTTAAGGTTATATTACTTGCTTTACGATCGAAGTTGTAAGGGTTCGTTACAACTGTCTCAACACATCTCAGCAGCCCTGACGCCATGAAATGCCATGAATGCCATCCTGAGACCTAGGGACCGGCGAGCATCTCACTCTGTCCCGTGGCTGGCCTCGTTCAAAAGGAACTTGAGAATGAGTTGAAGACTCTGGATTTAAGTGGGCACACAAGGCAAAGGATCATAGTCAAAACTGGTTCAAACCATTTTCAAACTCGCGAAGTATCGTATCCTTTTCATTTTGATGTCATGTTTGTCTCGAACATCTCCTTTGCCATGGACCCACCCACACATCGTCTTAATTTCGTCCTCTCATCGCTTCAGCAACCTTCTTAGTCTGACATCGGTGCTCCATCTGAAGGTCCTGGATCCGCCACTCCAGGCGTCTCTGTCTGCCCGGCCGTGGTGCTTTGCTGCTCCGTCTGCTGCACTGCCGCCAGCGGCTGCTGCCCTGCGGTCAGCGGCTGCCCCGCGGGAAGCGGCGGCGCAGGCGGCGGAAAGAGTTGGCCTCCCAAAAGGTGGCCAAAGCGTTCGAGTAGCTCCTCGCAGCTGCGGGAAGGGAAA